TAAAAAGTTTTAAACTTAAAAAAAACTAGTTTAATAAAAAATAATAATAATTATAAAAGTTTAACTTAAAATATAAATTAGTATATAAAGTTATATTAATAAAATAATAAACCAACTTAAATATATATTTATAAATTCTAAACTATTATTAAAATACTTTAAAAAATTAATAAAAACTATATTAAGAATTATAAAAATTTATAATTTAAATATTACTAATTTCTATTTTAATAATAATTTTTTTATATTTAAAGATAGAGTACAATATTGATTATTTAAAAATATAACAGTCTAATAAAATAGTCAGATTGTCAACTTCTAAGTAGCAGATCTAGAGTTCAAATCTTATAGACAATGAATTTTGAAAATTATATCTGTGTTATAATAACTGACTCTGTTGATCAGTTGAATTGAATATATCTGTAATTTTTAGTTATACTATCTTAAATAAGAGCTTGAACATCTATGCAAAGTAGAATATTACATATATATAAAAGAATTTTTAACTAGTATTGCATAAGATTTTAATGCAAATTTATGATAAGACTATTAAGTGCAGAAAATGAAAAAACTATGAAGTCAGAAGTTCACTTAGAAATCTTAAATAAGAAAGTAGTACAAACTTTTGATAGTGCTGTTGGACTAATGAAAGCTTATAAAACATTTTTAGTAAAAATAGACAAATAAACTAGATAATAAAATATGTAAAAGAGCATATAACCAACCAAACTGCCAGAATTGTCAGAAAAAAAAGATACTAAGGTATACTATACTAGGTTATCTAGATTAGAAGTCTAAGAAGTCTTGTTAGTTCTTAGCTGCAATTAGTAGAAAATAATATAAAAAATATCAGAAAGATGAATTCTAAGGTTTGGTCAACTTTACAAAAGTATAGCAGTTTAATAGTTAGCTTTAACTGCAAATAATGATTTAAGCCAAAGCAATATCAGGTTAGTTGTAAGTATAAGATACAAAAGGCTCTAGTAAATTTAGTACAAAGTTAAACATAACTTAGTAACCATGGTATATCTTTACTAGTTTATCAGAGTTATTGATAAAATATGATAAATATAGGATCAGAGTATTTAAATAGAGAATCTACAGATAATTCTTAAGTATAGCAACTAGTTTAGAATCTTTAGATGAACTATTTAAATTAAACAATAACTAAAATTGTATAGATGACTAGTTGTATACTTATTCTATAATCACCTCTGCACTGTTATATCAACAGATGCTGGTCAACTAATATTACCAATAAAATCCTAAGTTGCATGTACTTACCTTAATATTTAAAAAAAAATATATTAAATGTCTTTTAAAGAATAATATTCTTAAATAATATAAATGTAGTTTAAAATCTTTAATATAAAAATTTGTTTCAAAATTTCTACTTTGATATTATATAAATAATATATATATATATTACTAATTTGAGAAGTATCATAAATATAATAATAAAAAATATAAAAAACATAGATTAATTATAAATAATAAAATTAAAATATTTAGAATTAATATAAATAACAAATTTTAAACTTTTCTATTAGAGATATAGTAACTTAATAAAATAAATAAGTTATTAATTCTCTAAGTAATAGGTTATAAGTTCAAAACTTACTAACAATAAAATTTTAAACAATTATTTGTATTATAGTACCTATTTTCTATTAATTAATTAGAATAAAATATTTATAACTATGATTATACTAGTATAACTAATATGTTATAAGACATTTGTATAATCTTGATTATATAAAAAGATGCAAATTAGTATTAGATAATGTAAATTTAAAATAAAATTTTTGTGATCATATAAATTTGTAAAATTAAAAAAAAACTTATTTGAAAAGACTTAAATAAAGAAATAATACAAATTTTTGATAATACTACTATAAAGAATAGATTTAAAAAATAAATATCAATATAAAAAAATAAGTAAGAATCTTTAGATAAGAGGTATTGCCAATCAGATCACCAAAATCAAACTAAAGAAAAAAAATATTAGACTAGACTTAGTATATTAAAAACAGATTACAATTCTACTAAACTATCTGAATTAGAAGTTTAAAAACAAAGCAAAGATAAATTAAAATATTAGAAATCTACTGTAAAGTAGATACTAAGGTTTGAATAAACTTTGCAAAAACATAACTCTATTAAGGTTTGCAGAGTAAGTAAATTGATTAGCAAAAAGATTACTAAGTTTTACTATCAAATAATAGACTTTAAAATGTGCAATAGTCTAAATACTAATACAAAAAAGAATAAAGTTAAACCTAGATGGTTTTTAATAAAAAGCAGCATAAAGGTAACTCATCTTAAAGTAAAAAAATTAGAATTATATAAATACTAATTAGAAAAAACCAGAGCTTAAATAAGACACTTATAAATAGAAGTCAGATATAACAGATAGCAAATAACCTTAAAACAGAACCCTTAAATAAACAATAACTAAAATTGTATATATGATTAACAATATTTTTACTAACTAAAAATATACTTAAAGATATTATTAACAAAGCCAATTTGACCAAGTAATTAACTGCTTATTACAACATTAAAAAAACCTTCCTTTCTATTAGTCAAAATAATTTAATAATAACACTTTATTTTAAGTATTAGATACTTTGAAATAAGTATTAATCTTAACTATAGTATAAATAAAATAATATAACAGAACAGAACAATCTAGATACTATTAAAAATCATTAAATAGAAATAATTAATAATCTGTATTAGATTAACATAACATATATAAGTAGATAGTAAAATAGTTTTACAATTATGTATATTCTAAAATTTTAAATCCAATAAAGTTTGATCAGATGTTTTGTCAAGCTTTTTAAAAAAAGCTTTGTAATTTATCACTATAGTGATGTATTAAAATTCCAAAAATCAAAATACTGAAAGTCAAATCTTCAAAACTTATTTGCTGCATCGTGTGATGTCGGAGTGCCAATATTCAAGCTTCGCCTGAAATAGCAATGTTAATCAAAAGCAGAGTTTGAATATTGGAACTCCGACTGTGATTATTGTATAATCATTAATTTTAATGTCGGCAAATAAATTTAAGCACCGTTATATATAACTGATTTTGGTAGTGAGACTAGATGGATCCATTTTTTTTAATAATCCAACTCACGACATCCATTTCTCTAACAGTTCATTTGCCGACAATCCTATTTCACGATCTACCTTAGCCAACATTATATATAAAGCGGGCCAAACCTAACCCTAAATCAGGCCAAAATTGTCGACAAAATAGCTATCAAAAATGTTCCGCAAAACCGAACCGAAGACCTGACAATGACCCAAAACCGACCCGGTTCGAGTCCGGTTCGATCTCGAGTCACTCGTTGAATGGCTGCATTTAGGGTCTCTCATGTTGGTCCTGTCTGTGTTTAAAATTCTATCCACAATTAAATATAAACTTATATGTATGTACTTGGGTCTTACCCGGTCCTGATTTGGGTCTTTAAACAACCCGCCCGGAACCGCTTGTAAGGAACACTAGCTGTCAAGGAAGTAAGGTGAGCTGTTGGAGAATTGGACTGTCAGGAAAATGGGTCAACGAAATAGCTATCAGTGAAATTAATTTATACCATTTTGAGTAGCATATTTTTTATTAATAGAGTCATAAAGCGATTTCTATAAGCCAGGGTATTATTACCAATCTTTACAAAAGTGTACTTGATACGCGTTATTTTTCATATGCCATTCGTAGATCAGAAAACAATATGTTATCGTTTTGCAATTAAACTTATAACTAAATATTCAATGCATAAAAACATTATTATGGTTGGCCATATTATACGTTATGAATTGACCGTTCTTGAATATTGTAGATTAAATGTATGAATTAAACCATTCTCTTGGATATTTCGCTTGGTGTCGGTATATTGCGTCATTCATTACTTTTTTGACTGTTCTCATTGCATATAATGTTAAATTTCAAATATGAAACAAGAGGTATTATGTGATCTGTGATAAGAAATAATCATAAATAAATGACGCGTTTTATACATCGGGTTAATGCGTCGCGTTAGTCAAATTTTGATTATTCCAGTTCACTATTTCTACGATTCATTGTAGATATTCATTATGATGAGCATCTGTAACATGAAATCTATGATTATAAACTAAAATAATACAATATGAAGAGGTTAAGCGGAATTTATACACATCTATCAGCATTTCTTTACATAAGAGGATTAAGTCTGTTTCTTATTATTTCATTTATTTATTGTAAGTATAATAAGGCGCTATCCAATTGGCAGTTAATTTAGAAATAATTTCTAAAAGAGTATATTGTTTTAGGAGTTACTATTTATTTAGAAACACAAATAAAGACTTAGAGCGATATGATTATGTTAAACTTAGACGGTCGGAAGGTTATGCGACTGTGCCTTCGATTGAAATTGTTCATTCTCGATCTGCAACAAATAATGATTAAATTCTATATCGATATGGTTGCCGCCAAGGGAAACTTGACTTCGAGCTTTTAATTATATTTGTATCGGATACAATCCCTAACAAATTAGACTGATCGTGTCCGGTACAAAATATGATTAAAAGCCTGAAGTCGGGTTTTTCCTTGGCATCACCCATATGGTGGCTAAAATTTATCATAATTGAGGAGCCAAATTCGATCAGGAATCATGGACTTGAAATCTATCTAACTTTGATAATCAGTTGGCTGAATAAAGACGTGATATAATCCCGTGCTGTCTGTTTTTGTGATTGGTCTCCTAATAAATAAAATAATCAGTTTTGTAAACTGTAGTAACACACAATGTTAACAACTAATTCGCAGTCTTTACTTACGTCCGAGATCAAAAAGCAACTTAATTACCCAAATAAGTTTGTGATATCATAATCAAACTCTCGTCACTCACACTAGCAAACGTTAATGTGTATTTTTCCCATTAGAGTACTGGGAGAGAGATCCTGCACTATGAGAAAGCGTAACGGATTGGGATCTTCGTTCTATCAATGAAATGCCCAGCTTGACATGCGATGAAGCACATAAAACACTGTCGAATGAACTCAAAATACTTCTTAATCACCTTGCTGAGAATAGTCGTGGATGGTGCAAGGCAAAAGCGATCAAGGAACAGCTACAGGTTTGTTTTATACTTTGTTATGTCAAAATTGCGTAGCTGTACCCTGCGGGCTCTATCAATTGACTCCTTTGCTTGCCTGAAGTGGGTAGCACGTTATGGTCTGGTCTTAAAGGTCCCACTATGGCATGTGTGGTTATGCAATCAATTTTTTTGCAAAGTCGTACTCTGCGGATTCTATCAATTGACGGGCATTCCTCTGCTTGCTTGAAGTCCCACTATAACATGTGTGACCGTGCAATCAATTTTGATATTTATCATCTGCTATTTAACATTTACTTACAGTCTTCTTTTCTGAACTTTTATGGCTACAAAACTCCAGTAATACAGTGATTTGAAAGGAGTAATACTACGGGTTACAGTTGCAAATAAGATCAATGAAAGTAAGTTATTCTGCTCTACCTGATTCTGAATTAATTTACTGTTTATCTTTCCTCTTATACATTGTAATTATTAGCATAAAATCAAAGTTGTAACAAGGAATGCTACAAGTACAATAGCAAAAGCTTATTACATATTAAGTGGTTGTGGGATCCCAAAACATTTCTGGATAGATTACAAAAATTTAGATCATAATATCGATAATGATGAGGAGAATACAGATCTTTTGGAACAATCAACTAGTAATACAAAAACTTAAATCATGTTAATTATGATAATAATAAGGAGAATATGAATTTTTTGAAACAATTAATTAGTAAAAAATCATTTATATAATTGATCAGTAATTACAAAACTTAGATTATAATGTTATTGTTAGTAATAATAAGGTGAATATAAACTTTTTGAAGCAATCAATAAAATCTTATTGAAAATTATTTGGAAAAATTTATACACTTAAAATTAAATTTTAATTATATGTAGTTGCTAAGAAGTGATCATAAAGTGAAGAAGTTTTTTTTATTAATTTACTAAAAATTTTTCTGAAAAGTTATATTTATGTTTATTTATTATTAATACATTGATATAATTACCAAATTACTATTTTCAAATAAGCAGAATAAAACCATTATTTTAGTAGTCAAAAATAACTAAAACTTAAAAATTTTTTTGTAAATTTATTAAAAAATTACAGTTAATAATGTTAAAAAACTATATAATATTCTTTTTAAAATATTTATACTAAATTAATACAAATATAATCAAAAACCTTATTTTAATTTTAATTTTATTAATAGTGTTTAGCTTTTAAAATAGCATAAGTAAAGTTGGATTTTATTGATTAATAAATGATTAACATTATTAAAAATTTTGATTGGTCAATTTACAGATAAGTTACATTGATCAATTTACAGATAAGTTTTTTCTATTGATTTTATTAGTTAATATCCATTAACTAGCTATAGCAGAAATGAGATTGATCACAAGAAATAATTCTAATATCTCATAATCCATAAAACTCTAATTTGCTCAGAAATTACAAGATTAAGGATTATCATTAATATGTTGTAATTTTAAATTTTGCTCAAAAAAACAAACAAAAATTATAATAAAAAATTAGAAACTTATTATGATTCAAAAAATGAAGGCTCATGTTTTATATGGAATTGTAAAGAAAAAATAGGCCATTTTTATAAATTTATTTCATTAGTATATAAAAAAGCCTAAAAGAAAGGAACCTATGACTCCTATGTCTATTTAACAATTAGATAATAATTGTGCTATCAGCACTATCTAAATATAGCTAAGCCTGATCAATCTTAGAGATTAAAGGTTCTTATTTTAATAAATTAAAATATTAACAATTCTAAACAATTACTGAAAACAAAGTTTTCAATTTTAACAAATTAAAATATAATTGAATCTTGAAAGGCAGAGGTTCAATTACAATAGCAATTGATAAAGAAAATATATTATATAGTAATAAATATAATTATTATGTTTATTATTTATTGTTGTTAATAAAATGTAACTAAAAATGCATACATAGTAGCAAAAATAATAAAATAGTAGTTTAAATGAGAGGTACTACTATATTATATATAGTCTTATATAGTAACCTTTTATTTAGAAATAACATTTGTTAAACAAATTGAAATACTTACAAGGATTTTATATAAGAAGCATCACTATTTACTAATATAAGCTTTTATCATGTTTACTTTTAACAAATGATTGAGAATGAAGATTCTCACCTAATAGGTTTTTTTAATTAAATAGTTAAAGCATTGATACTTAATAATAGATCCATTTACAATAAAATTAAAGCATAAAAATTGGTTATAAGTTTATATTATATAATAGCAAAAATGCAAAGTAAGTTTGTCAATAACTTAAAATTAAAAGTCAGATTATACTTACTAATATCAAAAACATCTTGTACTGCAATTAATACTATGCATAGTATAGGATTTTCTTCTTGCTACTAAACAATTTATAATTATATGCAAAAGCTTGCAACCAAACATCCTAAAAAAATTAGAGAATATTTCTCTATATAGATAAGTATTTGCAATATAATAAACTTTTTATATCAACTTATTATTAGAGTTGTTAATAAGTTGGATTGAGTTGGGTTAAAAAATTTCTCAACCAACTTCAACTTGAGTTGAGTTCATTTTAGTGTAGCTCTGGAGTATGCTACTTTATTAACAATTCAAGTATTATGCAATACTTTAATTAAAAGCACAGTGAGTCCTTTTTATAAAAATAAGAATTAATCATTGAATCTTTTAATAAAATTTTAAAAATTCATAGAAAATCATTTCTCAAAAATTACTTAAAATTTTAACAATTGATTCTCATCTTTATCTTTAAGTTAAAGATACTATATAGAAATTACTATTAGATAAATAAATTAAATTACTTAGAAACCTGAGTAATTTAATAATACCTAACTAGTAATTTTTTTAAAGAAGTACAATCTTTAAGTTCAGAACTAATGTATTTAAAAATTTATGCATTGATGTGAATTCACTGTATTTAAGATAACTATTATTCAATAAGAGGTTTTATTAAAAATAATTTAATAAATTTAATATTAAATAGAAAGTTTTTTTTTCATTACACTCTTTCCAATGATTAGTTTTTTTACAAATTTAGTCAAAACACAAAACTATAAATAACTTAACAAACAGCATAGAAAACATATGAAAAAATATTAAGAAAAAAGAAGCAGATAGACAAAACAATAACTAAAATACAAAGTTGCAATAAAAGAAGAAAATTATAAAACATAACAGCAGTTCTTGTAGAAAATAAAGGAAATTTTTGAAAAAATTGGAATTTTCTAGGGAACTATTACTGATCCAGAAAAGAACAGACAACTACATATAATCAGTCATTTGAGCAAACAATGAGTAAACAAACACAACATGTACAAATCTGAAAATAAACAATATATACAACAAATAAACAAAGAAACAGGTAATAGAACTAGATATGCAAAGTAGACTAGAACAAGATTTGGAGAATATAAAAGTTGTACAAACATAGAGTTTACTCAAATACATTAGTAATTATAAGACAAAAGTAATAAGGTATATAGACAGCAAAGAAATTATTAAAGTTTTAGATATAATAAAACTAATAAGCCCAGATGATATAGAGTTAATACCAAAAAGCTTAGTAGTAGAAGACATAAACAAAATTACAGTATATGATCTGCTTCTATATGATCAAATAATAATAACATTTAGGAAAGCAAATAGCATAGAATTACAAAACAAAAATATAGAAGAATGTGTTAGGAAATCAAAAACATGAGCCTGAACCCAAAATCAGTTGACTTTCTTTTAAATATAAAGTCAAAAGAGAATTTTGTAAAAAAAGACAAGATGCAAAGAATAGAAATTATAACAAATAATAAGAATATTAAAGCAGAAAGTAGTAAAAGAAGAAGATAATATCTAGAAGAAGAAAAAGAAGAGAAAAAAGAGAAGAAAATGAAAGAGAAAAAAGAAAAAGTTTTTGATAATGCAGAAAGACAAGAGAGAAAAAAGTCACAAACTAAGAAGTTAGAAAAACAATTACAGATAAAAAAAAGAACAGATATCTCATTAAAATACAGTGTATAGATCCAACAAATAGAAAATACTGTAACAACAGCTTGTACAAAATCAAAGTACCAATTAACAATCTAAAAGAAAACATGGTCCAAGAAAGATTACAATATATAAAGACTGTATTAGGAGAAAACAAGCATATAAAGTTAGTTAAAGAAAAAGCAACTAGAGAAAACAAATGGATGGAGTTAGATTTTGACTGTAGCAGCAGCAGAGAAGTGGCAATAAAAGAACTTTACAAGAAAGACATAACAACAACAGAAGCTACAAAAGAAGAAAAAACAAGAACAAAACAATGTATAGAAACAAAAACACTATATAGAAATCAAGAAGAAAAAAGAAACATTACAATAAATGCACTTAATGGAAAAGATAAAGGGAAAGAAAAAGAAAAAACAAACAAATTTTTAACAATTTAGAACCTTCTAGCAAATGTAAAAAAGAAAGAAGTCAAATTTATCTGCAAAAATATACAAAATGCACAAGTGGTTAAAATCAAAAGAACAAGATTTAAGATGTTAGCAATAATACAATCTACATTTTTAGAAAAAGAAAGAGCCCCATAGGCACTATTATTTGATAATAACAACCTAGTACAGATAATGTAAGGGTATAAAGACTATATACAAAAAGAGAACCAAGAACAATATACTGCTAAACTAATGGGTTTAGCAAGAGAAGCCTCTGAGGTCCTGCTGCTAAAATGCCTAAGAAACAAGAAAGTAAAAGCAGTACATATTTCTCCAAACAGAAATGGAAACTCAAGAAGCACAGTAACAGTTACTTTTGCAAATAACATAGATCTAAAAAGAGCTATAAGCAAACCAATAAGATATTATAACTATATACTATATTGAAAGTCAAGAGAAAAAGTAGCAGCAGAATATACAAATCTTAAAGAAACAAACAAATACAAATATAACATACAGAAGCAAGAAGAAAAGAAGTTGAAATTTATAAAAGACCAAGCAACAAGCAAGAAACTAAAGCAAAATGAGAATATCAAAAAGAACCAGAAAAAAGGCAATAAAGAAAACAATGAAATAGCAAAAAAAGATTTGGGAAAAACACAAACTTCACTAAACAATTCTTTAAGACATATTAGAAAAGCTAGAGAGGATAAGTAAATGACAGGCTCAGTCTGTTCAACACTTCTGAAAGTAGTTATAATTAAAAACACAAATATGGATAAGAAGATTACAAAATTCCTGCAAAATAAAAAAAAAGCATTTGAGAAAAAACAAGTAAAACAACCTTCTTATTCAATAAAAATTAAAAGCAAAAAAGGTAAAGAAAAAGAAGATAACATAATAGTACTAGAAAATAATCAGTTTAAAGAAAAGTAGAAACAAAAAGCCAGAAAAGAACTTAAAATAGCATGTCACAATATTAATAAACTTAAAACTAAGGAATGAAAATTAGGAAATTTGACTGAATAGGCAAAAAAAGAAGAAATAACAATCTTAGATATAGTGAAAACAAACCTGGCAGAAAGAGAAGGAAATTGTTTACTATACAACCTAAATACACAGTATAAAGGTTTTTAGACTAGTGCAGCACAAGACAAAAAAAAAGGATCAGATGTAAGAATTTTGATAAATAAAAAATGAAAAAAGCATATGGGAGCTATAACAAG